AGGACAGCATCAGTATTATTGATGGGAATCCTACCAGCACAATCGATCTTAAAGTAGACTTCCGCTCCAATAAGTGCGTCGATTTCGGAAGTCTGATAAAAGGTGGGATCCGCAAGCGGCAAATTGTGCGGTATGTGCAACTCGTTTACGTTAATAGTATACGACGGCAAAGGTTCGGTTATATTAGGAACTACTAGAAGCGAGACCTTCTTTTCGTAATTGTTTAATCTAGATGATATTTTAGTAGCAATACTGTGAATCACGTTTGTTTGCGATTGGTTCAGCGTAGTAACCGGAATGTTGACTCTATTACGCGGTAATTTTAGCAATTTTGCAAATCGTTCGGTAATGAAATGAGCCTGCGCACCGCTATCTAATAACACACGTGCCGTGTGCTGATTGTTGTATTTGTCATGAAAATGAATTTTCGCGGTGGCTAGCAATACTTGAGCAGGACAACTCACTTGCAAGCTATTAACGGGATCAACGCTAGGGCTATTTTCGGTAGAGGATTGCCGTTCAAAATGTAGTATGGTATGATGTTTTCGGTTACACTTTTTGCACGACCTACATGTACATTTTTCGGTTGTGTGATTCTTCCGCAAGCAGTTGAAGCAAAGCCTTTCCTTCTTTACGAACTCATATTTCTCTTGTTGCCCTAATTTCACAAATTTCTCGCATGCGTAAAGCTTGTGTTCCCCCTTACAAAAATGACAAAAGTCTCGTTGAGTAGTTACGTTGAGGTTGCGTTTGCCAGCCCCATTTGAACCCTTGACATTGGATGAGCCTTGATGCGGCTGCATCTGAGGTTGCGTGGCCTCGAGAATTTGACATCGCGTTTTCAAGAATTCAATGAAACTGTCTAATTCTGGAAGTTCCTTTCCGGTATTGCTCTTTTCCCACTCCTGATGCGAGATTCTATCTAGCTTGCTAGTCATGCAATAGATAATTATGGCATCCCAACTATCAACTTTGAGACCCAACGATTTTAAAGCGCGAGTATGAGTATTAATGTTATCCAGCATCTGCCTCAAATAAACAGGATTTTCCTTCGTAGATGCTGGTAATTCAAGTAGATTTTTTAAATGATTGTGTACGATAACCCGTTTGTTATCGTAACGTTCGATTAGGAGAGACCAGGCTATGTTATAATTGCTTTCGGTGGTTTCCAAAGACTGGATGACTAATGCGGCCTCTTCCTTTAAGCATGATCGTAGATAATAAAATTTCTCGATAGTCGCGATTTGTGTTTTGTCATGAACCATTGATTTGAATGTGTCATGAAAACACGTCCACGCCTCGTATTTACCGTTGAAAGTGGGCAAATCGATTCGTGGTAACCTAACATTGTTTGGCTCGCTGCCGTTGTGTCTAGCTGGGCGATTATTAATCCCGTCTGAGGGGTTGTTATCCTTCAAAAATTTACGCGCCCTTCTTACGACTTCATAATATTTGCTTTCAAACTCATCGCGATAATCAGAATGCTCCGTTGTGTCCTGAATAGCTTGTATGTCTAATGCAACTTCATCAAACTGATCTAATAACGGTTCTACGGAACTTAGTCTAAATTGCACATCGTCATAATCGCTAGCAGTCACGGTTTCTATAAACGTGCTAAACGTAGTAACCTTTCGTTTAAGGAGCGAACGCCTGTTTTTTAGTTTTTTGAGATCGTCAGCCGACATGGTTTAATGAGGTAAATAGATGAAGGACTAGATAGGAATCGGTAATAAATTGAGCTTACGTTCAGATGCGATGACAATAGATGCCTACGTTGCCGTGCTGTTGCTGAAGTTCCTAGAGATTCCTTGGTTCGTTGATTCGCCAATTCTACCGATGATTTATCACGTGGAGTGCTCCGTTTTTGAATAAGTTGAGGCCACAGCGTTGATGATGCCCCACGTGATCTGGTCGAGATTCTTGAATAAATCCTCTTCGATGATGTTAGTTTGGAGACCCGTATAGATTGCCTCCTTGATCCAAAAGAATTATGATGATCCGCCTCCAAACTAGTGATTGCTGATGACTAAGTTGTTCCTCGTTGAATACCACAGCAACAATCGAGATTTTGAAGAACAACACCAACTTTGTATGCAACAAAGCAACAATCACGTCCTTGATGAATTAGACCGCTCGTGCAACTGCAAGTGTCTTGATGATTCTTGCATAATCCACCTCTCCGTCACCTGATGTTTAGTGTGAATTGCTGTTGATAGCTTGTTGTATCCGGCTCGAAGGACCATATGGTGAATCGCCTCAAGGGGAAATGACGATTCTCGGTGTATCAAAAATTAATTTGATGCACCAGCTCCAAATAAATTTACTCACGTAACGAGTACCAAATATATTTAATCAAATACGATCACATACATTGGTAAACACATATGTCACACTGTACATCTATTGTTGGTATTTCCTAAGAGGTGTATTCGTTGCACAACTATTTGCTTAAACAAGTTTTTGCGTGTATCTTGCACGACGGTCAGATCGAATCTGTCGAAATTCATTTTCCTTCCTCGTGGTGGATTTTTTAGAAGAGGGGTTGCGTAAAGGTAGTGGGAATAAATTGTAGGAGTTGCCCCAATGGTTCGTAAGACATTTTTCCATTGGCTGATTAACATGACCTGAAGGATACGAAAACTGCAAGGGGTGGGGGCAGGATTTGCGATTAGAAGGACAGGCCGCACTAAGCCCATGGAAAGGGTCAACGCAGGCTTAAAGCATCTGTAAGTGCCGAAGGGTTTTTTCTGATTTATGGTTGGGGAGATGGATGCGACAAACTGCATTTTTTAATGACCCCATAACCATTACGCCAACATTTTCGGCAGCTTTGTGCCTCTCTGAGGGTTTCTTGACATCGCATGGGTATGCTTGCAAAAGGCACGTACCAGCAATAACCATTAATAAGGGGAATGGCGAGTTAGGAAGTACGATGCACACATTTTGTTTTTTTAACGGAAAATCTTAAAGCTAAAATCTTAAATACACACGGATCACACAAATAAACATATTGCAATAAAAATACACACAGTTTATGAAAATACTTAACA